CGTCGGGTCTTCAACGCACGAGGCAAGGAGGTCGATTGCGCGGCGCACTACTGCAAGAGGTGAGGCGCAAAGAGGGACCATGCGATTCGGGGTTCGGGTCTCACACTCGAGCCGACGCGCGAGAGAAAGAGGGAGAGAGAGGGAGCGACGGGTCTTCGACACGCGAGGAGAGGAACGGAGGGCGATTATACTCACAAGGGGGGTAAGGCTGCTCGTGAGGGCGAGCGAAGGAGCTTCGCGCGAGGGACAAAGAAGGACTGCGCTCGGCCGCTCATACTAGCGAAGGGAGAGAGAGGGAACGGGAGAACTTGGGTACACGAGGGAAGGAGAGGGGTGAGGCGGCCGCATGCACGGAAACTCGATTGGGAGGAGTCAGAAAGAAAGAAGGGGGGGAGTTTCTACACGCGGAGAGTAAAAGTACTGAGCGCGCACGGTCTAGGGACCGAAAGATCGGCGGGCTCACGCGCGGCTCCGCCCTCCCACATCGAGCGCCGCGGGTGCTCTCGTAAACGAAGTACGAGGACAGAGAGCACTTGTCCGAGCCAGAGGTACGAGCGAGCTCCGAGAAGCAACGGGCGTCGCTCTTCAAACGGTCCACGTGGGACGAGAGAGAGAGAGAGAGAGAGAGAGAGAGAGAGAGAGAGAGAGAGAGAGAGAGAGAGAGAGAGAGAGAGAGAGAGAGGGAGTGGGCGGAAAAGCGAAGGTCGGGACGGGGAGAAAGAGAGGGTGGAAGCAAGAGGACGAGAGAGAGGGAGCGGAGAGCGTCCCTACTGGCGCTGTGGCTGGCTATCTTTGGAGAGTCGGAGCGGAGTACGAAGAACTCACAGAGGCGTTTGGCCGAGAAGCCGCGGTCTCGCCGGTGCTAACTAGGAGAGCCGGCAGGCCTCGCGAAGAACTCAGAAATCATAGCAACCTGAGCCACGCTCTGCGATAGACCCGAAAAGGGGAGGGGTGAGCAGGGAAGATCTAAGTATGGGCTGGGTGCGGCCAGAGTTCCTCCACCGAGCTAGTATTTGTGCAAACCTTTGTCAGTTCGTGTGCTACGGTGGGCTTGAGTTCCCCGGGCGAGCTAAGAAGCTCTGTTCGCCGAGCTTGTACATATGAAAAACTGTTGACTGTTCGTAAGTTGTGATTCGCAATCGGGGCCCTGGGCGAGCTAGGAGTAGCACGAAGTTCTGTTCGCCAAGCTTGTACCTGTGAAAAACTGTTCGTAAGTTGTGATTCGCAATCGGGGTGAGTCTGAATGATCTGGGCTTGAGTTCCCTGGGCGAGCTCGGAGTCACGAAGTTCTGTTCGCCAAGCTTGCACCTGTGAAAAACTGTTTGTAAGTTGTGATTCACAATCGGAGTGAGTCTGAATGATCTGGGCTTGAGTTCCCTGGGCGAGCTAGGAGTAGCACGAAGTTCTGTTTGCCAAGCCGGTACCTGTGAAAAACTGTTCGTAAGTTGTGATTCGCAATCAGGGTGAGTCTGAATGATCTGGGCTTGAGTTCCCTGCGGTAGCACGAAGTTCTGTTTGCCAAGCTTATACCTGTGAAAAACTGTTCGTAAGTTGTGATTCGCAATCGGGGTGAGTCTGAACGATCTGAGCTTGAGTTCCCCTGGCGAGCTAAGAGTAGCATGAAGTTCTGTTTGGCAAGCTTGTGCCCGAGGAAAAAACTGTTGCCGGATCATAAGTGGTGATTCGCAGTCGAGTTGAGTCTGGATGGCCTGAGTTTGAGTTCCCTGAGCAAGCCAGGAGCAGCGAGAAGTCCAGCTTGTCAGCGGCTCATAAGCTGTGACCCGCGATGGAGGCGAGTCTGGAAGGTCTGAGTCTGAGTTCCTGAGGTAAGCTGGACGCAGCGGGAAATCAGTGCGCCTAGCTAGTACCCGTTAAAAATCGTCGACGGCATGAGTCACAGTCCGTCAGTTACAAAATCGAGCCCGCGCCCTGGAGGTGAAAGGGCGCACAACCTGCTCGGGCTAGCTATTGACTTACGGGTCCGGCAAGAGAAGAAAAAAGGGGGGGGGCGAGTCGAGCGTGTGTGGGGCCGGCCCCGATAGAGGCTAAGGAAGGAAAGCCTCGCGAAGGCTAGGAAGGTGCATCCCTGGCCGACAACGGCATGCGATGTCTGAGTACCATTGGGAGTCCCCCGGTTAGATGTGCGAACTGCAAATTATCCCCCACTGAAGTGGCTATGGTTGGGCTTTCTGTAACATTTGTGTGCTTGCCGTCGTTGCCGGGAAAAAGTAACCGGACTGACGCCCCCGTGAATAGGAGGGGCACCCGCGCGTGTGTGTGTGGTTTAAAAAGGGAAAAAAAAAAAAAAAAAAAAAACTTTCAAGTTTCAAGGAAAAAGAAAAAGGAATTCATTGTTGGAGCGCGAATACGGCGATGATGATTTGGAGCCTCGTTTAACATCGTCGCAGCAGTTGGATTACACTTCATGCTGAGTTTACGAATGTTCGCTTGAGGCCCCCTGAGGCACGCTGTGCGCTCACCAGCTGAGATAGTCAGCTTGCCCCTTCGAGTTGGTTGGCCGGGAATGCCATTGTCCCTCCCATCCGTCGCTGGGAGTATAGGCTCAACCCTGAGGGGATAGGTTCAACAGATAACGCTTCGTGTAGCTGGCTTGTGATCCATAGATGTAGAGCGTATCATTCCAGGCTACCGTCCTCACCCGAATAGAACGCCCGGTCATTATAGCCGTATTGGTGCACCTTTCAGTCTACATAACAGCGATAATGACTGGGCGTTCTATTCGGGTGAAGACGGTAGGTAGGTAGGTAGGTAGGTAGTGGGAGGCATAATGAGAGAAGAATATGGGTTAGATTTCTAAAAGAAAAAAAAAGGGAAAAAATGTATTAAAAAAAAAGGAAAATGTGAACGACGACCAACATACCTGAGCATTCCGCTCCCCAAACGACAGCCTTCACTGCATCAGGTTGCGCCCAACCGCGTCGCCAGTCGTCAGGCCATCCCTCCATATGGCCCGAAACGGAGGACTGAGAGAGGGAGCTACCGCCATCTCCATCATAGCTTGCTTGTGTTGTGGGCCTGGGCCAGACCTCTCCAGCCACTACACCATCTTGAATCCACTTGACGCTCTTCGTGCTCCTCCCTCCCAAGAGCTCCCTGCAGATGATCCTGCTCCTGTCACTCATTCCTTTGCTCAGCATTTCGGCCTGTGAGCTTGTGACACTCTCACAGCTGACCTGGCCCGTGCCTCCCTTGCACGACTTTCGGTTGTCCTTGTGAGATAGAATGGCAGGCCAGCCACTGTCCTGAAGGTCATGCTGGACGAGGGCAACCTCACTGTCTGCTGTGGGACTCCTTGTTGTCCCACATCCACTTGTCTCTTGCTCTGCTACCTTGTTCAGATCTCTGTGGACTGCGGAGATTCTATACCCGTCACATTGCCTCTCATTCCCATTTTGGTAAACCACGGTGGCTACTTTTGGAAAACTGCGACAACATAACGACTCCGCCACATCGATGCTCGAAGCCTCTCGTTCCCGAGTGGTCATGCGCACTGATGCAGAGCTCTCAACTGCTTTTACTTTCCCCTGAGAGGCATCTTCCTGCCTCGATAACGACCTTGGCCTTCGCTTCACATTCATGAACCGAAGTGCAGCCTCTGTGAGACCACCATTGCCACGCAAGATCACAAAAATCCCGCCGCCACAACATCAACAAATTGAGACATAGTCACGCGAGGTCATGTACTTGTGTTAGCAATCACCAACCACACCACAAAGCAGCAGATGATGGCCCAGCCACCTCTCTCTCTCTCTCTCTCTCTCTCTCTCTCTCTCTCTCTCTCTCTCTCTCTTACCAATCACCTCAACACCACAAAGCAGCAGATGATGGACCAGCCAACTCTCT